GGGGGGGGGGGTCCCTTAGTGCTCTCTGAGCTTGGCTCTTTGCTTGCAGGTATTTTGCCACGTCTTTTTTGATGGAAGGGAGGGGGGTTTGTGCAATGGAGGAAAAGGGGAGGAGGGGGACGAACCGTGGGGTCCTTGGTGCTCTCTGAGTTTTGGCTGGTTTTTTTGCAGATGTCTCATTACCCATTAGCCAACTTGGTAACATCATCGGGGCTAGGAGGGTGTGAGTTTTGCTGTCTTATTTATATACAGTAGTTTAACTTGCCGGTCTTGGGGGTTAGGGTAGTCCCTTGAGTAGGCTGTTGGTTAATACTTGATTGTTTCTCAGGTGTGAACCCCTGCTTTTTTGGGTGTTAATTGCAGGGGACTGCTGAGGGCAATACTCTCAACCAGGGGTAGGCAACCTTGGCTCTTTGATGACTGGTGGACTTCAACTCCCAGAATTCCTGAGCCAGCATGGCTCAGTATGGAAACCTCTCCCTTTCCCCTCAGCATGGCTGGCTCAGGAATTCTGGGGGTTGAAGTCCATGAGTCATACAAGAGCCAAGGTTGCCTACCCCTCCTCTAAACCAGGGGTAGGCAACCTTGTCTCTTTTATGACTCGTGGACTTCAGCTCCCAGAATTCCTGAGCCAGCTGTGCTGGCTCAGGAATTCTGGGAGTTGAAGTCCACACGTCATAAAAGAGACAAGGTTGCCTACCCCTGCTCTAAACAATACTCAACCAATACTCTAAACAAGGAATTATCATCTCAGACATATAACCAAGATTAGGCTGTTGTTTACTGCAACAGCCTAATCAAGGATCTACCAAGGAGAAAACAACAACCCCACAAATGCTGACAGGACAAGCTAAGATACATAATCAGAGAGCCAACCTCACTCCTTCCTATCACTCAAGATGTTCCCTAGCTAGATAATGGAAACGTCTGCAAGAAAACAAACAGGCTCAGAAAGAATTAAGGATTCCACAGTTCAATCCTGGCCTACATATATTCTCTTCTGTTGGTCTTATTTCAATCTGCAATGACAACCCACTTGCTGTGCAACTCTGGGCGACTGACAGGGTTAAAATAAATCCAAATTCTTAAGAACACACTGTGTGAGGGACAAGCTACCCTCCAAACATTAAAAACTATATCAACTGAACAAACAAAACCACTGGTAAGGTATCCAGCCACACCGGAGTAAAACCTGAATTACGCGTTAAGAACAAGTGACCCAGGGTTAATCTCTGCATGTTAAAACAATCAAATCACCCAGGGGGAATCAGAGGAATGGAACTTTCTGGCCTTCCCTGGTGCAGACAAAAGTGCAGCCCAGAAAGGTAAATATTAACCTGCTCTTACTTGTGAAATCGGTGTCCAGATCTTTGCCGTTGGCATTGGTCTGCCCCAGCTTGGAGGTACAATCGCCTTCCTGGGCAATCTCGCGCCCGTCTGGATTTAGGGACGGCACAATCACGATTCTTGTCTTCTCAATCAGCTGGGGGGAAAAAAACAAATACCCAACAAAAAAATAAACCATTTCATGTAATAATAATAATAATAATAATAATAATAATAGTAGTAGTAGTAGTAGTAGTAGTAGTAGTAGTAGTAGTAGTAGTAGTAGTAGTAATAAAGTTGGAAGGGACCTTGGAGGTCATCTAGTCCAGCCCCCTGCTCAGGCAGGAAACCCTATCTCATTTCGGACAAATGGCTGTCCAGTCTCTTCTTAAAAACTTCCAGTGTTGGAGCATTCACCGCTTCTAGAGGCAAGGAGTTCCACTGGTTAATTGTTCTAACTGTCAGGAAGTTTCTCCTTAGTTCTAGGTTGCTTCTCTCCTTGGTCAGTTTCCACCTGTTGCTTCTTGTCCTGCCTTCAGGCGCTTTGGAGAATAGCTTGACTCCCTCTTCTTTGGGGCAGCCCTTGAAATACTGGAAGGCTGCTATCCTGTCCCCCATGGTCCTTCTCTTCGTTAAACTAGACATACCCAATTCCAGCAACCGTTCCTTATATGCTTTAGCCTCTAGTCCCCTAATCATCTTTGTTACTCTTCTCTGTATTCTTTCTAGAGTCTCAACATCTTTTTTACATCGTGGTGACCAAAACTGGATGCAGTATTCCAAGTGTGGCCTTACCAAGGCATTGTAAAGTGATATTATCACTTCACGTGATCTTGATTCTATCCCTCTGTTAATGCAGCACTGGGTTGGCCTTTTTGGGCAGCTGCAGCACACGGCTGGCTCCTATTTAAGTGATTGTCCAGTAGGACTCCGAGGTCCCTCTCACAGTTACTACTATTGAACAAGGCTCCCCCCTATACTATACCTGTACATTTGGTTTTTCTTACCTAAAGGCCACAATTAAAGGCCACAGGTGATAAAGGGGGCCATAGTTGCCCACCTTAAGATGCTTGCAGGTGACCCACCTTTGTGATAGCCGCGTTTTTTTTGTAGTTCATGCAGAGGAACTCTGCCAGTGCCAGGAGCAGCTCGGTACCGACAGGGGCATTGCCATGGATGCCGGCAACAAAACGGATCTTCGGTTCTTCTGGCTCAGACTGATTGGGTTTGTTAGAGATTTCCAGGGACCAGATGTGACGAATCTCCCGACTTTGGCCCAAGCTGCCAAAATAAAAGAGAGAGTAGAAGTCTACTGGCTGCTTTTTAAAAATAGAGGTGGCGATTTTAGGCTGCCTTTTGATTCTGCAGAAATGAAAAGCCAACATTTCCCATCATATGGAGACATTTATTGCAAGATACTGGCTCTAAAAAACCTCAAGATTGCTCCATGGGGGAAAAAGCGAGAAAAACAAACAAATGGAGGTAGTTTCCAGCTCCTTTTTTTGGTGGGAAGCTCAAGATAACAGACATTTTATTTATATATCATATTTAAGGTGTAAGCTTCTCATAGGCTTATTGCCTTTTTAAGTCGTCCCACTCTCTCCCAGGAAATATTCCCATATCTTCCCGGGATGCCAATCACATTACTAAGATTCGCAGCGACTGAATATAATAAGTATTTGGCTACTTAGCAGGACAACAGAATGTTTTTTGCTGACTTAATAATCTCATGAGGAGCGATTCGCCTTTTTCCTGATGCAGAGTGCAAATTTCAGGAAAGTTCAGCTGTCATTTTTAAGTAGGAAGCCTATCCCCAGTGATTTCCCAAACAAGTGACATAAAAGTGAAAAATGCATGGTCACTGTCTCCTATATCAAAGGAATCATTTCAGGACCGACTCCCTTCTCCATTATTAGCAAAAGAAGAAGGCTGTTGAGAAATAGAGGGGTTTAAAGCTCAATCTATCTGCAGAATACAGCATTTAGCAGTGATCACCATAGATCAGGTGCAGAGTGTTTTTTAGAACGGTGGGTACAAGAGCTTTGGACCGCATTGCTATAATCAGATCATTTTCTTTTGAATTTTCTTTCTAAAGAGCCAACATGAAACAGCCCAACCAAAGAATCTCTAAGACCACCCCCACCAGCACTGCCAGGGCAAGCCACCAGGATATAAACTGACAGCAAACGACACTCCTTACTAGCACTGATGATATTACCTAGCTGGGTCATGAAAGGTCTGGAAGAAAACCACCAAGCTCAGAGAGCATCAAGGACCCCACAGTCCTCCTCCTCCTCCTCCTCCAATCCCATTCCTATCTAGCACTGATGATATTACCTAGCTCAGTGGTGGCGAAACTATGGCACGCGTGCCAGAAGCGGCACGCGGAGCCCTTTCTGTGGGCACACACCATCGCCCCAGCACACGTGGTCTCTAAAAGTTCGCCATCACTGGCCTAAGGCCAGCCAGCCTGGAGCCGCCATTGGGGAGCCCGCCATCCCACCCGCCAGAGACCCCCTGGATCTCCCCCAACCCTGCCCAGATCCCACAGGTGTCCCTCCCCATAAGCAACATCGAGGTGGCCACGCCCACCCAATCTGCCATGATTACTGCAGCCACACCCCTCCAGTGGCCACGCCCACCCAGTCTGCCAAGCCCACTGTAGCTGCACCTGCCGAGTGGGCCACACCCACCCGGCACCCGGCGACACATAAGTGGGTTTTGGGTTGCAGTTTGGGCACTCGGTCTCTAAAAGATTTGCCATCACTGACCTAGCTGGTTAATGAAATGTCTGGAAGAAAACCACCAAGCTCAGACAGCATCAAGGACCCCACAGTCCTCCTCCCTCAATCCCACTCCTGTCTAGCACTGATGACATTACCTAGCTGGGTAATGAAATGTCTGCAAGAAAACAAGCAAGCTCAGAGAGCATCAAGGACCCCATCGTCCTCGTCCTCCTCCTCCTCCCCCAAACCCGCTCCCATCTAGCACTGATGATATTACCTAGCTCAGACACGTCAAACACAAGGCCCGGGGGCTGGATGCGGCCCGCGAAGTGGTTTCCTGTGGCCCGCGAAGCCATCCTGGAAACCGTGAGGGAACGGACCCCGCTGCCTTGGCCCTGGCCCAGGCTGGCCGGGAGCCAATGTACCATTTTGTGGTGGCCATCTATGCTGAAACGCATTCAGTCTTAGCTCCACAAGGCCGTCTGGAAACAGCGAGGAACCAGCCCCTGCCGCGTCGGCCCCGCCCCCTGGGTGCATGCTGGGGAGGGGTCCCCCTTTGTGAGGAATGAAGAAATGCACCATCGCCTGGAAGTGGCCAGCAAATGGCCCTCGCCTACTTCACCTATCCGGCTTGATGGGCTCTGCCCCGGTCCCCCCCCCTTCTGCCAGAGACCCTCAGATCTGTCCCACTCCTGCCCAGGCCCCCCACAGGCCCCCTTGACACGAATGATGTAGAGCTGGCCACGCCCACCCAGTAGGCCACACCCACTCCATCCATGCCCACCCAGTAGGCCAGTGGTGGCGAACCTATGGCACGCGTGCCAGAGGCAGCACTCAGAGCTCTCTCTGTGGGCACCCGCTCCATGCTCCAGAGATGGCAACCGTCCTCTTCAACCAGCCGCCCGCTAACTCGCCAAGGTCCCATATGGCCGGATGCATCCCAGCATCCATGCGCTTGCTGGTCTCTGTGTGCGGGGGCTGATGGTGCCAGGCCCCTGCCTCGCCCTGCGACAATGGCACCCCTGCCCTGCCTTGCCTTGACTCGCCTCACCCCGCAGGACCAGCCTCCTGCCCACCGCCCCACCCACCAGAGACCCCCCTGGATTTCCCCCAACCCTGCCCTGCCCCCACAGGTGTCCCTCCCCAGGAGCAACATCGAGTTGGCCACGCCCACCCGTCTGCCATGACCACTGTAGCCATGCCTACCCGGCAGGCCACACCCACCCAGCGGCCATGCCCACCCGGCACCCGGCGATACATAAGTGGGTTTGGGGTTGAAGTTTGGGCACTCAGTCTCTAAAACAGTGGTTCTCAACCTTTTTAGTGCCGCGACCCCAACCGGTCGTAAGTCGAGGACTAAACCGGTCATAAGTCGAGGACTACCCAACCGGTCGTAAGTCGAGGATTTTCCCTGCCCGGGAGCGCCGTGCATGCGTGGTCCCGCCCCCTGTGCCGGCCGAGGCGTAGCTGGCAAGCGGCAGAGACGGAGCAGGCCGACCACCAGCTGGCCCAGCCCAAGGGAGGTAAGGCACCCGCCGGAAAAGGGGGAAAGAAATGGCGGACAGCCTTGCTCGGCGACCCCCGTGAAATGGTCGATCGACCCCAAATGGGGTCCCGACCCACAGGTTGAGAACCGCTGCTCTAAAAGGTTTGCCATCACTGCAGTAGGCCGCACCCACCCGGCCCCCCGAGGGCAACCGCAATGCTGATGTGGCCCTCAATGAAATTGAGTTTGACACCCCTGACCTAGCTGGGTAATGAAACGTCTGCAAGGAAGCAAGAAAGCTCAGAGAGCATCAAGGACTCCACAGTCCTCCTCCTCTTCCTCCCTCAATCCCACTCCTGTCTAGCACTGATGATATTACCTAGCTGAGTCATGAAACGTCTGCAAGAAAGCAAGCAAGAAAACCACCAAGCTCAGAGAGCATCAAGGACCCCACAGTCCTCCTCCTCCCTCAATCCCACTCCCGTCTAGCACTGATGACATTACCTAGCTGGGTCATGAAACGTCTGCAAGAAAGCAAGCAAGCTCAGAGAGCGCCAAGGACCCCTCGCTTTCTTTCAAGAACCCATCTTGTGACCCAAGGATGGAACACAGCTGTGGTTTCCCAGAACGTAAAGGTCTCGTGCCGTCACGTACCTAACGAGATTGGTGATTTCGGGATAATTCAGATTCAAGCCTCTAAGGAACATGGACAGATCTTTGTAGGGGCGATAACGTGAAGGCTGAACATCAGCGGAAGAAGCCAAGAGGAGATGGTCCAAGCCGTTCTCTGCCGAGAGGTCTTTCATCAGGGTTTCGAACTCCTTGGTGACTGACCCGTTGGAGTCCGCCATGTTCACATGGGGTGCTGACCCTTCTTCAACTCTGGGGCCTTTTCGACTCAGAGTAAAGTTGACTTGCGCTGCATTGCTCTCTTCGACTTTTACTATCTTGGTCTCTGAATTATACCTTCCAAAGAAAAAAACCAGGAGGAAAATAAGAATATGAAGGAAAGAAAGAAAGACAGTTCATTCTGTCTGAGGTAATACCGTTCCTCTGAAGCAGGGCTTTTCAACCTTTTCACCCATTGTACCACTTTTAGGATAGGGCAACATCCGAGTACCACCAGTCGCCTAGCAAGGTGTCAAAAACTTGATGACCAAAAAAAAAAAGGGAAAAAGTGATGAAGTACAGGTAGTCGACTTACAACAGTTCACTTAGTGACTGCTCGAAGTTACAATGGCCCTGAAAAAAGTGCCCCCCAAGCCACAGCCGAGCAAGACACCTGCCTGCCCATCTGGTGGCGCTCTTCCTCCTGTCCGAGGTTTTCATTTTTGTGAGCATTTCTGTTGAGGATTGGCAGAGGGGGTGGGGTAGGGTGGGGGTTGGTTTTTATTCCCCCCGTCTGCTGGGTGGTTGCAGCAGGTTTTGGTCACTTCACATGACCCTGGGACACTGTGACCGTCATAAATATGAATCAGTTGCCAAGCATCTAAATGTAAATCACAAGACCCTGGAGAGGCTGCAACATTCCAGCTGATCGGCGCTTCTTCAGGGCTCAGCAGAAGCTCCAGGATCAGTGCTCAGCTCCAGCTGGACCTTGGCGCTGATCCAGGCGCTTCCACTGAGCCCTGACAGCCCTGAAGAAGGGCCGATCAGCTGGAAAGCGGCACTGATCCTGGCGCTTCCGCTGAGCCCTGACAGCCCTGCAGCTCCAGCCGTCTCTCGCTCAGGCTTGTGCGGTGCTGCCACCGGTTCAGCTCATTCCCCTCCCCCGCTACCACTTTTCTAGGATGGTCGCGTACCACCTGCCAGGTGCCAATGGACCACAGGTGGTACCCCTACCACTGGTTGAAAAGCCCTGCTCTGAAGCAAGCTTTTACCAGACCTAACAAGTAGCTCTCGATTTGCAACCACAATTGAGCCCAACATTTGTGGCTTGGCAAGATAGCGGTTAAGTGAATTTTGCCCCCTTTTATGACCTTTCTTGCCGCAGTCGTGAAATGAATTGTCAGGATAATGATTTAAAGGCTAATCAGCAGAGGTAATGTAAGCTGGATGATGCAATGACAGGAATGACACAGCAGGGTCTGCGTCTCTTTAAGAGCCTGAGTATAAAAGGGAAGGCTTTTTGCTGCTGTGTTCTCTCTCGTCCGTCTCCTGCTGTAATTGCTGTGTGCTGGGAGTTTGTTGTATTTATTTATTATTTATTTATTTATTATTTAAATTTCT